AAACTGCGAGAAATACTTGGAAGATCTGAAAAAGAAGAAGATTTCTGAAACGTCATCTTCAGGTATTTATGTTATAAAAGTAAATGTTACTATTTCTGATTCTATTTCTTTGGTATTTGATACCAGTTGTGGTACTCATATTTGTGGAAATATGCAGGGCCTAAAGAACAATAGAGTCTTGGAGAAAGGACAAGTGGACATTCGCGTGGAAAATGAAGCAAGAGTTGCTCCATTAGTTGTAGGAATTTTTCATTTGTTTTTGTCTTCTTGCATGGTTTTGGAAACTAAGAATTGCTACTATGTACCTGCTTTAAGCAGAATATTATTCAATTATTTGGATTTGAAAGGATTTCATATTTTTGATTAAAAGACAAGTGTTGTTTATTTGATCATTGTGATTTCTTTGATAGTAGAGGTCTATTAAAGAATGGACTTTATATTCTAAGTCAAAGCGTGCATGTTTATAACATTAATACCAAAAGGTTCAAGTCTTATGACTCAAATCAAGTTTTTCTTTAGCATTGTCATTTGGAACACATAAGTGAGAAGCACATCAAAAGCTTCATGGTGATGGAATTTTGAGCTCATTTGATTATGAATCATATGAGAAATGTGAATATTGCTTAGGGCAAAATGACTAAAGCTTCTCTTACTGGACATAGTGAAAGAAATAAAATACTTGTTGAAATTATACATATTGATGTATGTGGACCAATGAGTATAAATGTTAAAGGAAGATATCAGTACTTCATGATTATGTTTATCTAGAAACATAAGTCTGGATCTTTTGAAAAGTTCAAAGATTTTCAGGATAAAGTACAAAATAAACTTGATAAGAAATTTAAAGCTCTTCGATCCGATCGAGTCAAAGCGCTTAATGATCATCTGAGAAATTGTGAAATTGTTTCACAACTTACTCTTTTGGAAACACTGCAGTTGGATGGTGTGTTTTTGAAAGGAGAAACCAAACTTTATTAGATATCGTTTGGTCAATGATGAGTCATACAGATCTTCCATTATCTTTTTGGGGATACTCACTAGAAACATCTGCGTATACACTAATTAAGTAGATGTTCATCAAAATCAGTTGAGAAGACACCATATGAGATGTGACTTGGAAATGTTCCAAATTTGTCTTTTCTGATAATTTGGGATTCTGATGTGTGTATCAAACAAACATATGTTTACTGATAAGCTTGGATCCAAAATCTGATGAGTGCTACTTTATTGGTTGTCCCAAAGAAACCAATAGTTTTTTTACTTTTACAATCCCACTGAGAACAAAGTGTTTGTTATTCATAGTGATGATCTCTAGAAGGAGAATTTCTTTCTAAGAAAAACAGTGGGAGTAAAGTAAAGCTCGAAGAAGTTCGAGAAACGTAGAAAGTTATTTTTGGAATAAGAATCTATAGAGATAGATTAAATAAGACCATTGGATTATGTCAAGATACTTGTGTAGACTATCCTCGAGTATTTCAGAAATACTAAGGATAAGTTTAATCTATGGAGGAAGTGATGAACTTGTTGAACGGTGTGTTGGAAGAGTTCCAAGCAAGGTACCCTAACAGAGTCTCAACGGATGCAAATGTTGCTGATCCATTGACCAAGCCTCTTCCATAGCCTAAGCATGTAGTTGTGGTCATTAAGTATATTAAGATGTGATCTTGATTTTAGTGGGAGATTTTACGTTTATGATATGATATTCATATTGACATACATTTGAATATGTATTCAAACTAATGAAATTGTTTCAGATTTATTTGATTATTGGATAATTAAATAAATGTCCCAAAATAATTTATATTATTCTTATAGGTCATCAAGTGCGTGACTTGATCATGAAACCCTATAAGTGAAAGATGTTATAAATTATTAAGGTCCCTAGTCAAGGTTGTTAACGTNAAACGTCAGCCGTAACTGGTGATTATAAAGGCATTGATTAGGTGTTTTATGAAGTTTGTAAAGAACATGGATGGAACAAGATGGGATTTGTCCCTCCCATATAACGGGAGATAAATATCTCTGGGCCTATCGAAGATTTGATACTGAGAAATGCATGGCCATGCTCAAACGAGGTGAATGTCAGTCGTTTGTTTAATCAATATAAATCAGAGTTCGATAAACATGATCTAGCTTAATAAGGATGACACTAGTTCTTGCCTTATACTGAGATCGAGATATAGAGACAAAGGGATTATGAGAATAGATGATTCTAGTACAAGTGGGAGATTGTTGGGAATGTCCTAAAATCATTTGTACTTACTCTAGTTAAAGTCGTAACGTCGAGGTTCGGCAATCATATAAAATTAGGTGGTTATAATGTTTTGCTAGAAACCGCTTATAATCTATGAATTGAGAATTCATTACTAATATTATATGATCCTATAGGGTCACACACCTAAGCAAACTGGATCAGTGATATATTGGGTTACATGATATATTTATGTATATGTGTTATATATGATATAAGTGCATATGTATATTTATATGTATAAACTCGTGAGGTATATGATTATTATTGTTAAGTGGGCCTTGCCCAACAAACTAGTAACGTGAATTAACTCACGTGTATTAGGTCTAAGAAGAGTTGTCTTATATAAGACAATGTGACTTTAATAATCATATGAGGAGACTTGCGACGGCAAACCCTAAAACACAAAAGGACAAATAGTTCGTTAAGGTTCTGAGATTTGATCTCGACGGCACTAGCATCCCGTATCGATCCAGTTTGTGTGCGTGTGGATACCAGTAGAGGCACGACGTTTGGAGTGCTTGAAATCTCGACTTGGTTCATTCATCCTTCCGCTGCAGAATAACCAGGTATATTCGAAGAACCTAAAGATCTAGATTATTTCAGTATTGGCATGAGATTCTAGGCAAATAGAATTCATAAGTTGATTTATAAATCGTTATAAACTGATATGAATTCTTACAGACATAGAATCACTCTGGTGATGGAACAATTTTGTTTGCAGCTCGAGTTGAAATGGGGCAAGGAACGACTCAGGACTTATAAGACCATGTCATATCAGAGAGTCTTATTGGAGACTAAAGCTCGAAGGCAAAGTTTCTAGAAGATCTGTTCCACTCCTCTTCCGCTAAGTCAGAACACAAGAGAACCTTGTTTTTGCCCCCAAGTATCAATCTTTGTATTCGGACCTTTTTCGCCTTAATAATATTGGTTTATTTTGTGTAGTTTGGCTAACAAGCAAATTTTGTCTGGATTTTTTGGTGTAACATATCGATTTTGATTCGATCCACCTCTACTTTTTGCCCTTTAAGTCAAATCTTAGATGAAGAATTTCAGTGTAGTGTAAATATAGTTCTTCGACGTTAATGTGTAAAACGTGACAATCAGAATTGTCTATTGTCAAATTTGGTACGGAGATGTTTTTTAATTACATGTTGCCTTCGCTGCGAAAGAGTCTCTCTAATGGGCCTTGTGATGGCCCTGTTTGTGTAACGATAAGAAAACTATGGGGTGTGAATTGGAAGTCTAACGAAACTTGAAGTACTGGATTGAATGACGAAAAAGAATAAAAATAAGTATTTGACACAATAACGCACCCACTATCTCCCCTTCTTCTTCTTCCTCCTCACTGTTAACGCAGAGCCCCCGTTTCATCTTCTACTCTGTCTCTCCATAAATATTTTTTTTGTTTTTTTTTCATTCTATTTCTTAAATAGGCCTTTTGATTCTCTGGTGATCGGTAGAAGCACTGCACAAGGAGGCTGTGTTTCGTTTATCCTTTGTTCACCCGAAATACATTAGGTGTGGTGTGGAGGAGATTGAATCAATCCTATATTTCTAAAGAATAATCACAGATCGAGATTCAGAAAAACGTACCATTACAAAAAAAATTGACCCAGGTTTTCATTTTGGGGTATAATGATGAGGTTTCTCTTCTTCTTCCTCCTCTCCTTTCTTTTTTCATTTTTGCTTTGTTCTTTTTACTGATACAATTTTTTTCACTGATTTGGATTTTTTTTTCTTTGATGTTCTTTTGAAATTTCTCAAATGGTTTTTAATGGATCTAGGTTTGATTTTTTTTAAAGTGGTTTGATTTGAAAAGAGTGTTTATGACTCTAATGTCAAACCTATTCTTCCTCACTGAGTTTCATTTTCATTTTACTACCTTCTCTTTTTGATCCAACAACCAAATTTTCTGGGCAAGATTTTCAATTAAAATACTCAGAGCTTCAAAGAGTCTGATTTGGATTAGCCACCATTAAAAAAAAAAAATCAAGGAAAATATTTGAAGAAAGTTCACCTGCATAGAACACAGACGCATTTTGCAATGTTTTTAATCTGATTATATATATTTTTAATTAGGTATCAGAGAGTAAGCCCAGATTGTCTTCCCCTTACAAATGGAGCAAAGAAGCCCTACTCGAGACCATCACATTCAAACGAAAACGCCGCCGTTACAACCAACCCCATCGGGGGATCATGCACCATAGACGGAGTATCCAAAGGATTCCGGTTCAGATCCACTCAACAACAACAAGATCCTAGCCCTGTCCGTGGAGGCGATGTTCTGTTGCAGTGGGGACAGCGGAAGCGATCAAGAATCTCCAGAGCCGAGATCCGATCCTCCCCCACCATACCCGCCGATGATTCTTCGTCTTCTTCTGGACAAGGTAAGATTCATTCAAACAATCTCTTAAGAAGATCCGTAAACCCGTCTATGCCACCACCTGCACCTGTTTTCTCTGGCCGGAGTACAAACCCTAGAAACGGTTTCGTCGGCGGCAAGGAAATTTTCCTTTCCAGGTTTAGCCTTGATTTCCCTCACACTCCATGCAAGTTTCCTGTTTTTGATTATATTTATTTTCCCTAAATGTAAAATAGCTTTGATTTGTTACTTTAAACTTCTTTAGATTTTGTTACTGTTTAATGTTATTTTCTCTTATCGTGACTTGTCTGTATGCTTTTTTCTTGTTCGTCTATGTTTATGTGATAAATACTATTTCCTGTTTTTCATTTTTCGGTTTGTGATTTTTATTTAATTTATTCAGTTTAGTTATGCTATTTTTGAGATCCAAACGCTTATGCTCAACCATTTACCAAAGTTGGTGATCCAAAACTCTTTTTCCGAATTTACGGTAATGCCCTTTTGGAAGCACAGATGCTGAGACTCTCTGTTATGTTTATTTCTGTGCTTTCTACAAGTCTCTGTTTCTAGGTTTTTCGCTTGTTTGGCTTTTGTGTGAAAAAAATATAAAAAGATTTTTCAATCTCAAGGATCTTTCAACAAAATATTTTGCTTACCTTTCTTTGATCCAATCTTCTTTCACGGCTTACGGTATTAATCGGTTTTAGATTTCTTCTAATATTCTGTTTGGTCCCTATAAGATTAAATCCTTAGTTTCTTTTTCGTCTGCGTTTGATTCTGATTCTTAAATATGTTAAGGGTAGAACTCGTTTTCCTTTTCTTTCATTTTTAAACAAAAATAATTAAAAAAAAGTTTTTTTTTTCATTTCATATAAGTCTTTCAAAGTGTGGAACGTTTTATAAAAAAGAAACAAAACCACCTGTGGATTTAAGTTGTTCATCTTCATCATGTCCAGGAATCTAGAAGATCGATCAGCCAACGAATCACCATCAAGGAACATAAACAGCCGTATGGTGTCCAGATCGACCGGCTCAAAGCGATCTCCACCGTCTCCTGACCAAATCGAGAAGAGATCGAGCGTTAGAGACCATCTTCAGAACCATAGACAAAACGGGTTGGATCATAATCGTGACCAACAGCATCAAAGAGTGAGCAGATCAGAATCAACGGCTCAGGCTCATCCAGAACTGGAGATAAACAAAAACAATGGAGAGAGAGAGAAAGCAACGCAAGTGGAAACAAGAGAGTGGCCAAGGATCTACATTGCCTTGTCTAGGAAAGAGAAGGAGGAAGATTTCTTGGTTATGAAAGGCACAAAGCTTCCTCACCGACCCAGGAAACGGGCTAAGAACATTGATAAATCCCTCCAGGTACATATTCATTAATTAAAGTGAAATACTTCATCTTTTTTCTTGCATTAAAAAATCATTAAAGTGAAAGTTTGTTGTTAATTTGTGTGTTTGTGGACAGTATTGTTTCCCAGGGATGTGGTTATCTGATTTGACCAAGAATCGTTATGAAGTTAGGGAGAAGAAAAATGTGAAGAAGGTAATTAACTTTACTTAGTAACCCTTTTTAGTTGACAAAATAGATTTTAATAAGTAAAGATTAGTAGAATAGATGAATACATGATGGAATGGGTTTAGGTCTTTCATATTTTACATAATAATCAAAATTTATGAGTGGCCTAGAAGGTGGTGAATTGTAGACCTTATTTTAAATATTTGATGAACAAAAAAAATTATTATTAAATGAAACGAAAAAATAGACAAGACATGGGACCTACTACTATTCCACCTAATGGAGAGAATAATGAACTGTTTTTTTTCTCTATCACCCAAGGAAAAGAGTCAATAATACAATTATAAAAGTTGTTTGCAAAAGTAACACTTGAAACCACATATGAATAAAAATAAGGGAAAATAAAACCAAGTGGGTTTCTGCTTTGTCAAAATATTTGATTTTTTGTTTGTACATGTGATCTACTGAAAACACTAGTCTCGTACGCAAATTTTGAAGCAAATGTAATGGTTGAAGTGAGGTTAATGGGGAATGAAAACTTTTTATTTGATTACTTGTATGCAGCAACCGAAACGGAGAGGATTGAAAGGGTTGGAGAATTTGGACACCGACTCCGAGTAAATTTTGCTTGTTTTTTTTTGTAGTTTTCGATTGAGTTTTATATAAGAATTGAGGGGGACGTAGGTACGTGTGGCTTTCTTGTGATGCTCGTGCCAACAAGAACCTATAGTTGATCGAGAGAGCTATCGAGAAGTTCCCCAAATTTTTTCTTTTGGTTCGTGTTATTGTACCCAAAAAAGAAGGTGACAATGCTTTCTACATAAACATAAGTCAGCTTTTCAAAATTATTCAACAAAAATGATATGAAAAACGGATGGTCTCTGTTTGGAAACTTCTTTTGGTTCTTAATTCTTGAAGAATCAATTTAATAGATTCCAATATGCATGAATAATTAATCCGAAAAGAACAATGTCAAGATAAAAGAAAATATTTCTGATCACGCTAATGGTTATTTGTGAATCGAAGATTCGAATCTCATTGACTTTACGTCGTTGTGAAGCCATCAAGCTGTTCAATTCTGCTTTAAACTTGCTTCATTTACATGTTTCAATAGCCTCTTTGAAGGTTTACTCTCAGTTATATGAGTTGCTTCAATTATAGGCTTCCCCTGATTAAGCGGCACTGAAGGAACTAATGTAATACGTCGCCGTTTTCGTTGCAGCTATATTCCCGGGAGGTCTTGTAGCTCAAATGGAGCTTATTCTACATTGTCACACTCACTCTCATCTTTATTTTATTTTAACCCACCAAATAAAAATAGAGAGATTTAGTGAACTACCCATATTTGAAGCTCAAATTAGCAAAATACCATTGATTGGACATGAAGGACACATACATAACCATTTGGCAAGGAAATACCGAGAATGTCCCTTTCTCTTTCATCTCATTAACACGAAGCGTAAAAACATTTGTTAACATATAACACTTCTGTTAACGTCTACAATATTTGTTAACAGCCAATACATTTATTACCGCGAAGCATAAAAATAATTGTTAACAGTTAACACTTCTGTTAACGTCTACAATATTTGTTAACAGCGAACACATTTATTAACGCGAAGCGTAAAAATAATTGTTAACATCTAACACTTCTGTTAACGTCTACAATATTTGTTAACCGCTAACACGACGTCGAATTTAAAACCCAGAAAATTGATATCATCAAAAAATTGAGGATTCAAAGCCACTTATGAAAAAATAATGAAATTTAAAATTTAATTGTATATAGAATGATAGAGATTTGTAAAATAATTAGGGATTGAAGAGAGAAAAAAAATGTCAAAAAATTGAGGATTCAAAGCCACTTATGAAAAAATAATGAAATTTAAAATTTAATTGTACATAGAATGATAGAGATTTGTAAAATAATTAGGGATTGAAGAGAAAAAAAAAAGGGAAAATGTCAAAGAGAGGAGAGAGAGTGTATAGAAGGGCAAAATGGTCCAAAGGAAAGTGATTGTCACATCATGGGCAATTCTCTAATTATGGGTCCAAAAAGGGGTACGCTAGCAAATTATCTCTAAAAAATAATATAACTTTTACTATATTTTTAATAGAAAACATGGTAAAAATCGAAATTGTCCTTCATGAAACCAACTATTTACATGATCCAATCTAAACTATTTGCCCCACCCGGATCCTTAACCTAACCCATCTTTTTCCTCCTTTTCCCTTTGTCGTGTTCCCTTTTTCGATAGAAAGCCCTAAAATTGAAAAAAAAACAACCCCCCAACGATCCAATCTCTTTCCCTAGAATGGAAACCGGCGAACACAATGAAGTCCACCGCATTCACCGCTTCTTCTCATGTCTTCCCTTAACCCCTCGTCCATCGTTCCCTTCTTTGTTTCTCAGATTTCATCATTTCCCCAAATTGGTCAGTAACCCTAGATCCGATGAAATCAAGGGTATGTTCTTTCTCCATTTTTCGATTGATTTTGGTGTGGGTTTGAAAGGATTGTGGTTGAAAAAGCGATTAGGTTCAGATTCATTTCATATTTTGGTTTCGGATTTGAGATAAGTTTAGTGATGATTGTCGCTTATGACCATAATTTAGACTAACAGTTTTAGTAATAGAATGTTTGTTATGTGAAACCAATTCTGAGTGATAGAATGTCTGTGATTTAGTGATCGAACTATTGATTTCTTGGAGTTTTATTATTGAATGAATGGTTTTGGGATTACAAAATAATGATTGTGATGATTTTCTTTTGAATGTTTGGTGATTTATTTAGGCATTAGCTAATTGTTTGTTGTTTTTGGAATCAAAGTAATGACAGGCCTTAAGAAGCGTGGACAGAAGAAGCAGAGTAAAAATAACAAAAAGAAGTCCACAAGAGAAGAGCAGCATGTAGATGAGCTTTCGACCGGGAATGATAGCGATGATCTGGCAGCACATGGAAATGACTTTGATCATCTGTCTGCACACGAGAATGACACTGATCATCAGTCTGCGTCATCTCAGGTATCATTCCCAAAATTATTCCCAAAAAATGGTTAAAGGTGTATTACTGGTTTGACTAGTACTACTAGGATAAAAATATATGATTTAATCTACTTAATAAATAAGTGCTAATATAATTTTTATCTGGTTCATAGGAATGTCAACCACTTCCACCTGATGAGCTATACTTCAAGAACACCGAGTTCACCAAGACGTGTAAGATACAGAGCAAGTGCTATGTGAGCAAGACATTGAAGTTCCTGAAGAAGCCTAGGTTTAAGCCTGAGCTGGAGTGGTTTGAAAAACACTCTCAGTTTTGCCATTTCTTCCACATGCTCGATGAACCAAACTTGAAGCTGATGGGTATGTGGATGCTTCTACTGTGCACGGTTCCTTTACACGAGCAAGAGGACACAGCTTGGTTTGCTTTTAATGGTGTGCCCATTCGGTATTCCATTAGAGAGCATGCACTCATCTCGGGATTGGACTGCTGTGACTACCCACCTAAGTATAAGAAGATTGGGAGCTATGATTTTGTAGACAGACATTTCAAATCATATAAGGAGATAACGATAAAATCTGTGAAAGCGAAGTTGTTGAGTATGAGTGCGTGTGGAGATCGACTCAAGATGGCGATACTTTACTTCTTAGGCACGATCATCAGAGCGAAGGGAAGGTATAATGCCCCTTTTGAATCTTTCATATTAAGAGTCGTTGACAAAGTGGAGGTTTGTGATACCTTTCCTTGGGGTCGCTTGATGTTTGATGATGCTCTGCGGTCGATCAATCACGTTATGAAGCATCTGAAGGGGAAACCTAAGAAGAATGTTAACTTTTCTGGATTCATAATTCCTTTGGAGGTAATTTTTTTTTCATCTTTATATAATTGTTTTTATTTTGTGAAGCAGCTCTGACTGGTGTGTTTTGACATTTAGGTTATAGCATTTGAGTGTATTCTAGCTCAGAAGGCAGAATTCAATGATCATGTACCTGGCTGTCTAAGCAGCTGCCCGAGGATGTGCAATCATCAGTTCCAAAGTACCAGCATGAAAGGTTATCCACTTGAGAATTTTTACACCATACTTGGAAAAAATACGGTATGTTTTAAATATTGTTTTATTTTTATTAAGTGAGTAGGATATAATGTGTTTGATAGTGTTTTGGTATTTTTTCAGGTTATTAATAGTGTTATGGTTCCTACTGTTGATGAGGAACCTCTCATGGCACATATAACAGAGGGAGAGGCAGACTATGAAAACGAAGAAGGAGTAAGTAATTTGTGGAGCACATGGCTTGTTGTTAAGGAGAAACCTATCTTTTGTCAAGAACTATTTGACTTAGATGTGGCTGCAAGGGAGTTTCCTCTAAAGAAAGACAAAGGATAAGTGAATGAAGAAGCATCCTCCTCTAATGCAAGTGTGGAGGACGTTTTAAAAGTGTTTGAAGAGAGGTTAATGACAAGTTTGAGTGAAGTGGTTGTGAAGGTGGAGACGATGGACAAGAGGCTTGGCGTCTTGGAAAAAAGCCAGATTTTTTTGAAAAGGAGGTGTAAGAGGATGAAGGCGATGGAGAAAATCCTTCAGAGGATTAAAAAGAAGGTCGGGAAACAGAAGAGAATGGAGGGGAGGCTTGATGACACTGAAAAAATATTAATGAGGGTGAGAACGAGAACAATGAGGGTTTTGACTACCAAAACATGGATTTCGAGTGGGATAGGAGATGAGACGATGAAAAAGAGAGTGAAAAAGAGGCTGACAAGAAAAATAAAAATTTTGAGGAAGGGAAAGAATTTGAAGCTGAAACTGAAGCGGAAGAAGACAAAGAATCGGAGAAAGACAAAGTATGCAGTGAGACTAATGAGGAAAACGGTTGGACGTTGCACCAAATGAAGGAGAAATGTAGAGTACAAGCTGATAAGCTGTGGAAGGATATTGCTGATCAAGAAAAGGCTGAAGGAAAAGAGAAGCAAGATGAAGTTGAAGGAAAAGAGGTTCAAGAAGTGGCTCGGGTTGAGGTTGAAACAGAGAGTCGGGATAAAATTGAAACAGTGGCTCAGATTGAAGTTGAAACTGAGGCTGAGAAAGAACCCAAAAAAATCCTTCACCACCTGAAAAAAATGGTGGAGGAAGAGGTGGAAGAACCTGCGGAAGAGGCTCAAAAAATGGTGATGGAAGAAGAGGTGAAAGAACCTGAGGAAAATGATGAAGAAATGGTAGAGGGTGAGGTGGAAAAATCCGAAAAAGAGGCTCAACATTACACTGAGGAAGAAAAGCAAGAGTGGTACATGGTTGTGTACGAAGGCAGTACATCTGAAACGAAGGAAAAAGCGAAGTCTGCTCGTGCTGGGATCAAGCATAGGCCAAAGCAAATGGCTGTGAGGAAACATGCTCCTAAGCTGAGGGGTAGACCGAGAAAGGATTCTCAGCCAAAAAAGTTCAGAACGCCAACACAGACAAAACAGACACGCACACGTTCACAGTGGGTTTCTACTCCTTTCACTAAAGCTAACACTGATGCGACTGAAGGGCGCAAGAAGAAGCCTAGAACAAAGGCTTAGAAGGCAACTAGCTTAAAATATTTTGGGTGTTTGATATTTATCTCGTCTTTTGTTGTGAACTTATGTAGGATGCTATGTTTCATTTTGGTTGTTGGTCTCTAAAACTTGAATGCTATCTCAAATGTAGGATACTTTGTGTTGTTTTATTATGTTTTGCAGCAGGTTTGGTCCAATTGAGGACAAGAAAATCTAAGTCTTAAGAAAACACATTTGTACGACTAGGATTATTATGTATTACTAAGACTAAAATATTGTCTTAAACTTTAAGAAAAAGAAAATTCAACGAAAAAAATGTCTAAAACGTGTTAAAAAAAATTCAATCAAAAAACAT